TTTTCCAAGTGTATTAAAAATGAATTCATTTATTTACAGAGTATCTTCAGAGATTACTTTTCTGTGAAATTCACTTTGGGTATTTTAACTATCTCTCTCTGCTCTTCTTCCTCATCATCCTACTTTAAAGGTAGAGTGGCCTAAATGAATTCACTGGCAGGAGCAAGAAAATCTACTTAAGCTTCCTCCTAGGTGACCCAGGAAAGCTTGAGATAAAGCAGCCCATGGTGTTAACGTGATCATTACTGATAACCACAAGCCATACCATTTATAAAGTTCTATACCAAATGCTGCATCTCATTTTCTCTTTCACAAAACAAATGTTGAGGTGTTCTTATTACTGATGAAGAAACAGGCTTGGAGGAGTGAGGCTGGCTCCCGGTCACACAGCTTATAAAGGGTGATGTAAACCCAGGCAGGCGATTTGAAATCTTCTTCTTGTCCCAGTGTACCCACTGTGGCCTGTTGGGTTCCAATTAAACAATCCCTTCAAAGTAAATACCAGGGCATCTCACATCTGCCCTCAATTAGGAGAGTTGATCGTGGAAGTGCACTTCGGCGTGGTATGATAAGCCACAAGGCAATCTGGTGTTTGAGGGCTTCTAGGGAAGACGGCAAGCATGAGGGCAGAGGAAAATGGGTTTTTACTGAAGACTCTGGTATGACTGTTTTGAGTGACTCTACATTGTGGCTTCTGATTTGGTGTGTTCTCATAAAGGAGCCATCTCTAAACTCTGTGGGTACATGTCTCTGAAGCCTTGTTTATACACCTATTTATAGCACTTCAGGCTCAGGGGAGATGTTTCTTAATAAGAGACTCAAAAAGCACAACTTTCACTCATAATGAATAGCAGATGGTCATTTTACTCAAAATAATCTGGTGCTCTAAATAAGAAGCACTGATTTTGGCTCATGATTATTAAAAGGCTACTACTTCCTAGAGACACTGTTTTATTATATCCAATTATCACATAATTATACCAGCTTTTAATCTCATTAGATGTGTAAGAGAGTATCAGAAGGAAAACTTGGAGTAATTTAATTCGAAGAATTCATTGGTAGAAAAGGTATATTAATACCTAATAATAACAGTTGCAGTTGATTATTTATTAATGGTCATACCCTATGTAAAGTGCTTTACATACATGATCTTATTTAATCTGTGACACTGGATGAAAATGTTTATTAATATCCCCATTTTACAGACGAGATAACCGAGGCTTTAAAGAGGTGAGTAACTTTCTCACTGTCATGCAGCTCAGAAGTTTGTGCTAGCAGGTTCATAGAGATTGTGGCTCTTTGCTCCAGGCCTGGCTCACTGCCTAGCACACAGTAGAGGCTTTCTACAAGTTTGTTGAGTGAATATGTAAACAAGCAAACCATAAAGGTTTCAAATACTGGCTGATTTCACCTAAAAGTTGTTTTGACAATTTTTACTAATGGCCACATACTATGTGGAGTGTTTTACATAATTGATGTAAATTATGTAAATTATTTTGTATTTAATTATTTTGTAAATTATTTTAATGATTTTGCCTTAGAATGGATAAAGTAATTTTCCGGAAAGCTCAGAGTGAGGCAGCCTCTTCTTTTCTTTGCTGAGAGGTGTGGGTGTGGCCTCTGCCCAGCTCTGAGCATCATTTCTGAGGCTTATTCAGTGGAGACCACTTGCATTCACTAGCTAAATGGCAGAGGAAGGGTTTCATTAGGGCACCAGAGTAGGAATCTCCACAGAAGTCCAGTCTCTGAAGAATGGATAACTGAAGAATTAGGGCTTCCTCCTGGGCAGCCCCTATCTGGCTATTGCTTGGGTGTCTTCCAACCAGTTGGTCACCCTTAGGACTCTTTCATATAGAAATGCTGGAGCTGTGGTTTGTGGATGAACTCCTTTACTCACAGTGGAGGTCCCACTGGTTCCCATCTGGGGAGACTTGTATGTGGGCCTGGCCCAGGTAGTATATTCCTAATCTAGACTGTGTGTCTTTTCTAGGGCATTAGGGAGTATCCCTTCTGCCAGAGAACACAACAGAAGACACTCTGCGGAAATATAAATAAATATCCATACGTGTATAGACAGATCAGGCCTACAAGCAAATTCAAACGGTGATTCCTCAGGATAGGTGAACTCCAAAAATGTAGTACAACATCTTCTCCTTTACCTCCAGTTGGAAAAAGATCCCTTCCTGAAGGGCTAGACCTGGGCAGCCCTGATTAATTTTCAAGGTGCACCTTGCCTTCAAGGAACCTCATAAAAGTTTCAAGTAGTTCTTTATTCAAAGCTTTCAGGGATAAATACTCTACAAAAAGCAAGTGGTGGGAACATTACAGGGGCCCTCAGCCCAACTCTGTCCTCTGATTCCACTCTGGGGAGGAGCTGCCACCCCATTCTTCCTGGCAACAACCAAACCACCTCACCCATCTCATCTTGATCTTACTTAAGTCCCTGCCCAAACTCAGAAGAGGCCTCCCAGACCTCATAAAGTGTTCTCGCTTCCAAACTTTGAGGCATCAATAACCATTTTCCTGGTGTATTATCTGATTTCCCCACTGGGATGGTGAATTCTAGGAGGGTAGGGCCCTCCTAGAATTTTGGGTCAACTTTCCTTTCTCAGGCCCTCCTAGCACAGTGTCAGACACATAGAAGGCCCTGAATAAGTGTTTGTTGGACAAATGAAAGAATGAGACAATATCCTCATTTTTTTGATAGTAAACATGTATATGTGAGAAATATTTCATTTAGGTGTCAGAGAGGGATCAAGCATGGTCCACCCCACCCTTTCTTTTCCTCTCACTGGTGCACCCAGCCGGGCCCGGCCAAGAGCGCGCGCCTCCAGCTGCTTGTCCACACCTGTACACAACAGTGAAAATGGGCTAAAGAAGACACAGCTGACTCACTGCAGGTGCTATAGGCTGGGAAAGCTTACAGATCCACAGAGGAATGGACACACTGATCCTGGGGGCAGGGTGGCTTGTCACTTTAGGAGAAGATACAGAATATCAGAGGGACTTTTGAAAGGCAGAGAGTTGGTTTCTGAATCATCAGGTTCTGGGAAGGAAGAGGCATGCAGTATGATGCGCCTGACTGAAAACTCAGAGAGTAAAAAGAAGCTTTGAAGTAGAACTTCCAGTTTTGTGATAGCAGCAACCCCCAGGATGCTCTGTTACCTGCAGAAGGAGCAGAGAAAGTAGGTAGTGAGTCTGATCTTGGATTGACAACTGACAGGCAACATGTGGGGAAGTATGAGGAAGAACAGTGGTCTGGATTTCAGGAAGAACAAACCCAGGATGAAGGAACCCAACCTGGACAGGGAAACAGAGGGGGATGGGAAGGAAAGGCTGAGAGGCTAAAGGTTAAGGTGAAGCAGATTAAAGCTTCAGGGGAGATGAGAGGTTGCACATGTATGTGGAGGTGGTGGGGGCTCAGAAAGGAAGACATCAATTAAACTCAGGCCACTTCAGTGTGGCTTTCAAGGTGTGTTAAGATGGCATTAAGGTCTACAATGAATGAGGAGGTCTAGAAACAAAGAAGCTATTTGCAAAAGTAAAAAAATGCTTTTTTTTTTTTAATATTCCGACTTTTATTAAGCTTTCCCTCAAGCTACTCAAGAATATGAGATGAATCACTCTACAGCTTTGTAAGGTACAGAGCGGTCGATTTTCAAAACAACCATCCTAACCTTCTGCTACAAATCCTGGAATCAGTTCTGAGATTTAAAACTGTATTTTTACAAGTCCGTCTTCCTGGAGTCCTTGCAGAACTTCATGGAGCATCTACTACACGCCATGCCACAACCAAAGCCAGAAAGCGGTGTATTTGTGTGTGTAATGCGTTGTCTACTGATCAGAGACATACATCCTCGCAGTGAGGCAGGCCTCAGATGCAAACGCCCGCCCCGCCACCCTGTCGCCGGCTGAGAGGATCTGGCCGCCAACGCGGGGCGGGGAGGGGGGGGGTGAGGGTTGGGGGGAAACCAACATGATGAATATCCCCAGGGACTCACCCCTCCCGGACTTAGCCTACAAAACAAGCGCTCCACTTCCCCGGAAATTAGATGCATAGGGGAGTTCATTCCATGCTGGAGGCTGGAAAGCCCTTGCAGAAGCCTCTCGCTACACTGGCGGGCTCAGTCCCCAGAAACGGAAGAACATCCCCAAAACCACGTCCTGCTCCTCCATGTGACTAGCCTCTGGGCTGGTAGCCACAAAGGACGTGTCCGGGGCACAAGAGACACCTCTCTGGGTTTCCTGCTGGTTCCACGGAGCGACCAGCGAGAGGCCCCGCCAGGTGCACCCAGCCGGGCCCCGCCAAGAGCGCGCGCCTCCAGCCGCGGAGCACTGGCGGCTACGCAGCTGAGATTTACGGCGGCTCAGGGCGGTGGCTTCCGGGGCCGGCCGGCGCCCAGGCTCCGATTACAGGTTCACACGGGGAGCCCAGCCCGCGGCCGCTCAGTCCGGGCGGCGCGCCCTAGCACAGCCTCGCTCCCCCGCCTGGCCATTCTTCTCCATTCATGCGGACGCCCAGCGCCGCCGCCGCCGCCGCCAGCGCGGCCGCCGTCGCCGTCGCCAGCCGCCCGGATTGGCTGGCGGCCGGGGCGCCGGCACTTTCCCACGGCCAGCGGCGCGTGCGGCTCACCGGCGGCGCTGCAGGCGCGGCCTTGGCGCGCGGCCAGGCCAATCGGGGAGCGCGGGGCGGGGCGGGGCCGCGGCTGCCGGCGGGCTTGTGTCCCGACCCGGCCTCCCGCGCCTCCTCGCCGCCGGCCCACCGCCGCCTGCACCTCCTCCTTCCCCACAAGTGGAGGCCCGGCAGAGCCCCCGCGGAGCCGACGCACCGCCGCCGGGCAGGGGCGGGCGCGGGGGCGGAGGCGCTGTCGGCCCTCGCCCTCAGTCTCGCCCCCGCCCCTCCCCTGAGCATCTGCCACTCAGCGGAGAAAGAAGCTGGATTGGCTGGAGGGAGGCGGTTGCCCGGGAGCCTCGGCCCCGCCCCTCCGCCCCCTCACCGCCTTCCCTACGCCCCCGCCCTCCCTAGGGCCCTGGGAAGGGGCTCAGCGTGGGAAAGGGATGGTTGAGTTTTAACCGGAGGCAGAGCGTGAGCGGGATCAGTGTGTGCTGAACGCGAGCAGCCGAGCGCTGAGAGGCGCCGCGGTTGTTAACTCCTCCTTGCCCACTGCGTCGACCCTCCCCTGAAGCCCCAGCGCAGCCAGCATGAAGCGAGCTCACCCCGAGTACAGCTCCTCGGATAGCGAGCTGGACGAGACCATAGAGGTGGAGAAGGAGAGTGCGGACGAGAATGGGTAATTTGGAGACGGTTGAGCGGGGCCAGAGAGGGAGGAGAGACCCGACTGACTGGCAGCGGTGACAGCGGGCCAGAACTGAGGGTTCAGGAGCTGCTGCTCTGAGCCGACCCGTGCGCGTCGCAGGCTGGCCACTGCCGGTGGCGAGGGACCCTCGAGTCACCTTCAAGTCCAATTTGCCAAAACAGTCTGAGTGCAAGGAGGGCTTTGGGGGCGATCCTTAGATCATCTCCACTCGCTTAACGGCTATTCTCCCCCGCAACCCCCTTTCCTTTCAGAAACTTGAGTTCGGCTTTAGGTTCCATGTCCCCAACTACATCTTCCCAGATCTTGGCCAGGAAAAGACGGAGAGGCGTGAGTTTTAAATTTTATTTTGAACGAATGCTCCTCTTTTTAAATTTTGTTATTAACAGAAAGAATCACATTTCTTCTCTTTGAAATTTGCAGTCATCATGGAAATGTCCTTCTTTGTTTTGCCTGCTTCCCACAGATCATTGAGAAGCGCCGACGAGACCGGATCAATAACAGTTTGTCTGAGCTAAGGAGGCTGGTACCCAGTGCTTTTGAGAAGCAGGTAATGGAGAAAGTAGGTAGAGTTATCAGTATAGCTATCTGCGCCTTCTGACTCCTTCCCCCATAAATCTGAACCTTATTCATGTCTTGGAAAATAGTCGTGTTGCTTATGTCTCGATGAATTCATACAGATTTTCCAACGGATTTTGTGAAGACAACTCATTTGCTTTAGTCCACACTTGTTGATTTACAGAGAAAGAGTAACATATATATTATATAACGTGATATTATATAATATGTATATGTGTGTGCGTGTGTGTTATATGTTTTCCACCAAAGGCACTCGTGCCAAATCAGTCTTTTGTCATTCTCTTCTTTAGGGATCTGCTAAGCTAGAAAAAGCTGAGATCTTACAGATGACCGTGGATCACCTGAAAATGCTGCACACGGCAGGAGGGAAAGGTACTTCTTATTAGTCCTGGGGGCCTCTATCTGGTCAGGGTACAGGGAACAGTAGGCAGAGTCCAGGATTGGTGCAGTTCCTGCCTACTTTTTCTCTGGGGGTGGGCAGAGAAGGGTGTGTGGTGTGTGCGCTTGCCTGTTAGTATGACTTCAATTGAACATCTGATTTTCTCCATTAAATATATTACCCCAGCCCTTTGCAAAGTCTCTGAGATCCTCCAAAGTTTTGACAGCCCTGATTCAGATATCTGCCACATTTGTCCATTGCAATTTTGAGAAAAAGATTGAGAAATAGCATGCACACACACGTACATATATTCTTAATTTCTTACATAGGATTTTTATTATTATTATTAAAGAGCTGACACATCACATCCAGGATAGAAACCTGTTGTGGTTTAGTAGAGAAAAACCTAACAGAGGGTGGGAGACCAAGGTCTGTGCGTCGGTCTCCTCTGTCTCCAGCCTGGAAAATGCTTTACTGAGGACCAAGTGCCTAAAAGCTCCACGATGATAACTTACATCTGTGTGTCTAATGAATTTCACTGCTCTGTGGTTTCTCTGTCCTTGATGTATTTTTTGTTGTTGTTGAGGGAAAACATTAAAGGAATGAGCATAGTTTCATCTGCTGGTAGGGTATAATTCCAATTTGTGCTCAGCAGCTCCTAATTGGACTTTGAACTTGCATTAGCAAATACATTCTACTCATGTTGATTAATGCAAAGATTTTTGGTCAGCTCCAGAGTATTTGGGTTTGCAGGAGAACCCCTGTGACTGTTCTGTTTTCAAGACTAGGTATTTGCCAGAAAAGACTGCCTTCGGGAGGAAGAAAGGCGGGTAATGAGCAAAACCCTGAGTTTTTTCTTTTGTTCTTTTCTCAGGTTATTTTGACGCACATGCCCTAGCTATGGACTATCGGAGTTTGGGGTTTCGGGAATGCCTGGCGGAAGTTGCCCGTTACCTGAGCATCATTGAAGGACTAGATGCCTCTGACCCGCTTCGCGTTCGACTGGTCTCACATCTCAACAACTACGCCTCCCAGCGGGAAGCTGCGAGTGGCGCCCACGCGGGCCTTGGACACATTCCCTGGGGGAGCGCCTTCGGACATCATCCACACATCGCGCACCCGCTGTTGCTGCCCCAGAACAGCCACGGCAGCGCTGGCACCACTGCATCGCCCACGGAACCACACCACCAGGGCAGGTTGGCCTCGGCACATCCGGAGGCTCCTGCTTTGCGAGCGCCCCCTACTGGCGGCCTTGGACCGGTTCTTCCCGTGGTCACCTCTGCCTCCAAACTCTCACCGCCTCTGCTGTCCTCAGTAGCCTCGCTGTCTGCCTTCCCCTTCTCCTTTGGCTCCTTCCATTTACTCTCTCCCAATGCACTGAGCCCTTCGGCACCCACGCAGGCGGCAAACCTTGGCAAGCCCTATAGACCTTGGGGGACGGAGATCGGAGCTTTTTAAAGAACTGATGCTATAAAAAAAAAAAAAAAAGAGGGAGGGGAAAACTTAAAATCCCAGCTGAGCTGGACTGTTGCCAACATCACCTTAAAGTCGTCAGTAAAAGTAAAAAGGAAAAAGGTACACTTTCAGATAAAATTTTTTAAAGACTAAAGGTTTGTTGGTTTACTTTTTTCTTTTTAATTTTTTTTATCATGTCATATATTGGCAGTTTAAAAAAACTAGTTGTTAATTTTTGTTTAAAACATTTAATTGAGATAGTACAAACCTATTCTTTGTGATAGGTTTTTACTGTGTCTAATTTACTTTGTAAACCTATCTAAGAATGATTCCATTTTGCCTCAGAGTTTTAGGAATCATAAACTTTAGTGTTTTTGGTCTGTTTTTCTCCTTGTATAGTTGCAGTCTGATTTTAGAATTAATTTTTTCAAACCACTATGCTCAATGTTAACATGATTCTGTTTGTTAATATTTTGGGAGATTAAGGTGTATGAATAATATTCTTTGTGTGTAGGGGGAACTATATTGAATTTTATATTTCCAAACAAAGCGTTGACAAATCAGATGATTAGCTTTATCCAAGAAAGAAGACTAGTTAATTCTCTGCCTCCTCAGCAGTCAGTTGGATGTACATACTATCAGTGACCCTGAATCCACGGAACCAAGTGCCATTGTCTGCTAGAACTTGCCCTTCTGGCAATTCAGGACTAGGAGACAGCCACTGGTGGGTTAGGGCCCCATTGGGAGTGTTGGAGAGGAAACTGAAGACAATTGCATAGAATATGCCTGCATTTACCAGCCCCAAGCAATGCAATGAATTTTTAATCCCACGGATCTCAAATTCTTAAGTGTTAACCTGGATAAGTGATCACGTGTGCAAGTGGTCAATTGACTAGTACAGTGGAACCTGCTAGATGTATGACCTAATTTTTCTGGAGCTGCTGTGTTTTTTTGAACTGAAATTTTTTTTTTTTTAATGTTGTGTTTTCCTTTTGGTGCATGGAAATGTGGTTGTTGAGATATTTAAAGGGGCTTTGCTGCCTTCTTCTCTTTGGTTTATTTAATCTGATTTGGGCTATAAATGTATCATTTTACAGGTTTATTCCTTTAGCAGGTGTAGTTTCAACAACCTCCACTGAACTGGATTTGACCTCTGTTGTACTGATGTGTTGTGACTAAATAAAAAACAAAGAACAAAGTATTCTGCTGTGTATGTCTTACATTCCTTGGCCTTTCCCTCTTTAGGCTAAGAAAAGACAAAAATTCTTTCATTTTTTCCTTCCAATCGATTTTCATATATTTACCAATTTCATTACTCTTGGAATTCTAAACTGCAAATTCAAGTTTTGAATAACGTGACTTCCTTACAATGTAGAGCTTTGGCATGCCCCCCACCCCTCAACAAGGGAACATAGCCCTTTAGCTATTAAATAAGATCTTCTTGCCCTAAACTGATCATCTGTGGACTAGGAAAGCTTAAATCAGACTGGAAGTTGCAGAGGAGGGAAAGGACTCTGATAAAATATTTTTAAACCTTGTTGACCATTTGACAAATATTTGCTAAAAACACTGTGGGCTTGGATGTCTGCTGAGAGAATAGGAAAAAAAAATTCATGTATTTATTTTTTAAAATGTTAAAACAAGAAAGCCCAAACATTGCTGTATCTAAGACCCAGTGCAAAGACTCAGGAGTCTGGCATGATGAGCAGTGGCAGGCTGTAATTCTGCACCTGCACAGCTCCAGGAGTCTTCCCTCCTCTAGTTTCCAAGGAATTTGTTTAACCCTTTACTTGGGCTGTGCCTGAGGAAGCTGGCATATGCTTTAGGTTAGAACAAAACATTGCCAAAACAGAGGCAGTAATGTGGGAACTGGGGGAAAGGGATGCTTTCCTATTGCTTTAAAAGTAGACTTGCCAATTAAGGAGTGCTGTCTCAGGAGTTTGCCTTGATCCTGAGGGTGATGGGAGAGAAGAGGGAGAAAACCCATTCTGGCAGGTGACAAGTTAGAGCTTTCCTTTTCTTTGCCCAACCACTGAGCTCCTCCTCCCTTCTCTGAAGAGAAAACAAAGACAGAAGGTAAAGAGGAAATTTGTACTTTGAACTTGAGCAAGGACTTGTGTGTTTCTGGGAAGGGATAGGAGGATGGCAGTTCGATTTCAAATGCTATCCCACTCAAGCTATCGCTGCGTGGCCTTGGATATTCTTGGTCCCTCTTCTGAGGCACACAGCTCCATTCCCAGTGCAGCCTGTGCCACTCTTGTCAGTCATAAGGCTGCAATGGAACATGTTATGATAATTTCTGCCAAGTGTCAGTTTAATTTTAGCAACTGCAATTTCTAATGGCAACACTGCATTACGGAGCAGCATTGTGCTCCGACTTCTTAGATTCCTGTCATTACCTAGATTTAGATGGCTGCTAATGTAGTTTGTGGACTCTGTTGAAAAGAGTGTGGAACCATAGAACAGGTAGCATGTCCAACTCATCATGTCACCAATGTCATGGGTAGTACTATATCATGATCTGGGTAGTACATTTTTCTTTGGGGCGGAGGTACATGGGGTCATTTTGAGATTACATACTTTTCCAAAGACATATTCTGGCTTCTTTTTAAACCTTTTAAAGGTGACAGATTTCTGGGAATGGTGCAGGTAGAGCTAATCTTCCTGGAAAGTAGGATAGAATTAGGGCCATAAACTAGTAATATGTAGAAAAATTAATTAAGAAAATTCCCATTTCTAGGGCTGGGTTGTAGTTCAGTGGCAAAGCTCTTGTTTTGTATACATGAAGTCCAGGGTTTGATCTCCAGTTTCAAAAAAAAAAAAAAAAAAGAAAAGAAAAGAAAAAAAATTCCCATTTTTATTTTGAATTGATGTAGTAAGAAAAAAAAAAATAACATCAGGGTCTTCAGTACCAGTTCCAGCATACTTTTTGTATTTTTTTTATGTTTATAATGCAACTACCTATGAAAATCAATTTTTTGGATGGTCCATATATTTTACCTTATGAGAAAAACAGTATCATTGGTCATAAAAGCTCTCAAAAGGCCTAAATAAGTACCCACTTATTTTCATTGAATGTATTACCATGAACTAACTAAATGAAGGATATAGAGCAGAATTCTTGCAAAAAAAAAAAAAGCCACTAATTGAAGCGTCCAAGAAATATCATTTTTAATTTATTCAGTATAGCTGAATTAGGATGTGATTTTTATTCAGCTTTTCATTGCCCCACTGTTACTCACAAAAATCATGACATTTTAAATATAGATTACTTAAATTTAAAATCCCTCAGGAAATGTTCTACCTCCTAGTTTTCCAAACCCTTCTGGTCTATACCAGTGTCACTGCTTTGATGCCTTCATTAGTTTCTGGTGATGATTTATAATTAAAATAACTTCAGAGCCAGCATCATCTGAGACACTGCTTCAAATGTGGCCCAATTTCTTTCACAACCGGAGCTCTAGGAAATGGGATATCTCGGGAAGGGGGCCAGAATTCTGGCCCCAGCTCTGCCTCTATCTAATTGGGTGACTTTGGACAAGTCATTAAAATTCTCTGGATCCTGCTTTTCTCTCTGCCAAATAGAAGCGTTGGGCTAGATGGGGTCCCAGGTGCATGCTCACAGGGTTAGGCACTAATGCAGAAGAATACAGTGAGGTGGGGCCAGGTGAGTGATAATCCATGTTCTTAGCATCCATTCTGACAAATGATCACCTGGGAATTTTGGTCCTCTGTTGACAGATCTTTCAAGTTTTTAAGAGTATCTACAATTTTGGATTTTTGTATGGAATTAGCCAATCTTTCTCAATTGGTAATCTACCAAAATGTGTTTACCAGCAAGTCTGGGCTGATGGGCAGCCACCATTTATCAGCTTCTAGGACTTTAACATGAATGGCTCTCTTATGGCTAGAATCTTGATATTTTTGTTGCACATGTCCTTGGAATCTCTGATGGATAAATACAAGTCTAAAATAAAATAAACAATGCAGTAATTAGGCAGCTGTAGGTGGTATCATTTAAAGATTATTTGTTAGGATTTTTTGGTAATTTCTTCTGGATGATTAAATATTCTCAAGGTAAATAAAGCCAGGAGAATGAAACAAAAAGCATCCTATTTGCTCTATGTCTTAACACTCCACAGGAATCGCTCCTGAAGGTGCTCTCGACATGGTCCTTGTATTCATTTGCCACTGAGGAAGATGGCTTGTCAGCCGGGTGGCCTCAAATGAAAGATCAAGTGTGTAGCTGGCTGGCTTGTGACTCAGCACACTGAAGTACTAAAGGCGCCATCTGATTTCAGGAAGTAAGAAGTCTCAGCAAAAACCAAGCTGTTTTGAGCTTGAAATATAATGCCCGCCTTGATCTTGATGAGCCGCAGGGCTATTCTCTTAGATGCTTCAGTGTTCTGCACTGGGGTGGGGCCAGGGAGAGGGGAGGAAAAATAGCCAAGGAGAAAGGAACCCAGGCCTTTCTGTTTGAACTGTCTTTAGGTATTGATATGCATTGGCTACAGAACTCTTCTCCCGGCCCATGAGTCCCAGAAAAAAATCCAAGGCAAATAGATTTCCTTGAGAGATGGGTCTGGGGAACATAGCAAGTTTTCCAGATTTTGTGTCAATTGGACATAATATCAAGCTTCTTTAGTGTGTGGTTGTAGAATTTCTCATTGTTATGCTAGTATTTTCCAATAAGTGCTTTATGTTGGGTTTTGACATATACTCAAGTTCAAAGGCTATGCCTAAATTTGAAAATTCTTGATCATTCCTAGGCAGTTATTAGGTGGTCTATGGTTTGATTTAGCAAAAGAGACTTGAAAACATCAGACTTCAGTCAGAGAGAGACTAGCTGCTATCCCTGAGTTGATAACTAAAAATTTTCTGTAGATACTCTTATTTAAAAAAAAAACAAACATCTCCTCTGGGGCATAGTTTTGTTTCTGGTGAATATAGAAATATTCAGAATATAGCAATATTCTGTACATACAGAATGAAACCATAAAATTAAAGAATGACATATTCGAACTTTTAACCAACCCCTTTGACCTCATTTCCTATACGCAACCTTCCTCCACTGCTGCAGTCCATTTGTTTTTTGCTGTTTCTGGAACGTGCCCATTTCCCAGTGCACTCTCACCTTCAGTCCTTGGTGTGGGCTGGTCCCTCTGCCTAGAGTGCTCTTCCTCCACCTTTCTGCCAGTCCATCTTGCTATGACTTGTCCCTTCCAAAATTCATGTTGGAATTTCATTGTCATTGTGACCATATCAAGAGGTGGAACCTATAAGAGCTGATAGGTCACAAGAGCTTTGCCCTTATGAATGATTAGTGCGTTATTGCAAGAGCAGGTTAATCATTGCACAGGTGGGTTTCTGAAAGAAAGAACTAGTTGCACTAGTTTTCTCTTTTGTTAGTGGGTGCTCGTGTTCATTTGCCATGTTATGAGAAGGCACAAAGGCCCTCATCAGATGCTGCAGCCATACTCTTGGACTTCCCAGTTTTCAAGGCTGTGAGCCAGATAAATTTCTACTGTTTGTAAACTAGTCAGTCTGTTACAGCCACCGAAAACGGCGTGTATAATCTGCAAATCAGGGCTGTGCAAAGTTTACCTTTTCCTTGAGGTTCTTCCTCACAGTCCTACTACTAACAGACATCTATTCTCCCCTCTCCCCATTTTACAATCCTCCCTTGCTCTTTTGGTTTTTTCCCCCAGTACGTAGAATCACCTGACAGCACACCTCACTGATTATTTGTTTACTGTCTGTTTTTTCTTGGCTCATTCACTTCTACAATTCTATCACTTAAGAAAGTCCCTAACATATTGAATGCCTTTAATAAATATTTGTTGAATGAATGAATGGATGAATAGATGAATCCAGACTATCCCTTTGGTACCTCTAAAAAGAAGAGCAAATGATATGCCTCTGTCTCTCCAATCCCCACCTCCAATCTTTCATTTTAAGAACTACCAGGGAAGATAGTTTTATGTTTCTCTTCAGTATTTCCCTTTCTACTTTTAGAAATCTACCCAAACGTCATACTTCAAGTCTACTTCCTTTTTGTGTGTGCCTACTGGGGATATAGGGACATTATCCCCTCTTTTATATTCCCCATTAAAGACTGCATTCTTCCTGAAGACATGTTTCTTCCTTTATCTTCACTTCTACCTTCTCTCTAGTTAGATGTCCCAGAATTTTTTTCTTGCC